TGTGAAAATAAGCATTGTAGTAACTTTGTTCTTTATTACCATCACTCTTGTCAGGGTCCTTATCCATCATCATTTAAATTCCAACATTTCCAGGTTTTCCAGGTAAAAATCTTAGAATTTCTCTAACAAACACAAGTTAAACAACAAAGCCAAAAACCAACTGAATTTTTAATTTTGATTTATATTTGGCAAAAGGATGTATTTTAGCATAAAAACAAAGTGTACCAAAAGAATTTTCCAAAATAATTTTTTTGGTGCTTTATGACCCATTGAAATTTTTGTTTTATTTGATGCATCAGATGAAAAAATCAGTCATATCCCAGCTTTTGAACATGTAGAATGATCAGTGAGGATTTATTGGGCTGCAATTTGAAAAAATTGTAAACTTATAAATTTCCATTGTAGTCCATCTGTCTTTCCTTAATCTTGAGAATAAAGTCAATGAAGACCAGATATAGAACCTTAAGGGCAGGAGGTTCCAAGTAACTATATACAAACTTTTAATCAAAGAAGTCATGTTATTTTAATTCAAAAATTTTTCCTGAAAGGTGTTAGATAGATGACTGGCACAACTCTATAGTTAAAGGAAAAGTATGATGTACAGGGGCAAGTCACTGCTAATTTGGGGCAGAGAACATATACTTTAAATTAAATAAATTAAAAATTGTAGTCTGGCATTGTGGCAATGTGCAGTCTGGCATTCATCTGGCAAATTGCACAATAAATAATTGCTCATTTTAATGGAAATCATTTAGAGATCATGATTAGATAACAAAAAATAAAAATTCATTATTTCAGTTTTACAGAAATTTTTATATTAAAAAATTTAGACTCCTAAAAACTGAGTTTATTTTTTCTTTAAAGTTTTTATAGATTTTATAGATTTTTTTTGCATTGTAAGCATGAATTTTATTTTTTTATTATTATCCTTTGGATAATAATAAAAAAATAAAATTCATGCTTACAATGCTTATTATACATCCACTAGAAATTTTTATTTGCATAAATAAATGTTAAACATGCCAAACCAGTCAGTCATTAGCTCTTCATATTGCCTGAGTGTATCTTTATTTTTTGGCCTTGTTTATTTGATATAAAATGAGATAAATTTTAGACACTATCAAATTAAATTAGTGAATATTTATTTCTGTGAAGTAAAAATATTCCTTGACTACTTAAAATTCCCTACTTTGCAGATTGTTATAAACTCTGTCTTATATTATATGTTTATGTTATGATGATGCTAAAAGCCAAAATTATTGCGATACTTGTAAANTGCAGTCGAAGAAGAGTATAATAACTATTATTTTTAAGAATTGAGTTATATATTTTACAGTAAACATTAAGTGTATAATTTTTGTTAGAAACAATTAGATAAAATATTGATCAAAATATTTTATAATACTTGATTATTATTTTTAAATTTAATTTTGATCTATTTTATCAAAAAACTTTACTGTATGTAAATTTCTATCTATTAATTTAGCACAAAAATAAACTAGAAATTTCAGTAATATAATTTTTAAAAATTTTATAATCTAATAAATTAGGAAAACTATTTTAATTTTAAAGTTACAAATCAGCTTATTTCACACAAATGAAAGACATAATTAAGATTAGTTTGTTTCAACAACATTAAAAAAATTTTTTTAGTTTATAAATTCAGAATAACTATTTAAAAAATCAAACATACCATGCAGTATTTAAAATTACATGCAATATACAAATTAGTCTTCAATTTGAGAATTTGTGTTGATGGAACATTTTGTGGAGAATGAATTATTCATTAAATATTGGAATTTGCCTATGTCTGAAGTTTATATTGAAAATGAATGGTATTGTTTAAAGAAAACATTAAATTAGCATATTGCTGAAGATGATTTCAAATGGAAAGTAAGTTTCATGAACTACTGAAAACTATGGGATAAAAAGAGGCCAGCCTATTAAACTAATACTTAGAGAGGTAATGTAAGTTGAATTTATTATATTTTAATATCATACAAGTATTAAGGATTAAAATGAACTACATATGCTACAGTAACAATTAACATATGTCATAATTTTAATATGAGTCTTGTTCAAATATATATTATATTTTGATAATTAAAATATTTGAATGATTATTTGATTAATATAAACAAAAATAACTCTTGACAAATAAATTTAATTTTATATTTTTTGGATTGCATACTGTTTCAACTCCAATGAAACAACAAGTGTGGGAGAATAACCCACAAGTACCAAAATACATCAGACAGACAATAAAAAAATTCTTGATACTTCATAATTCACAAGTAAAATATTTTTATTTAATAAATGAAAATGATGGTTGATTTCCAAAAAATACATTGTAAAAATAACGATCCAAATTACTAAAATCATGATCAATACTGATCTTTAAAAATGGAAAAATATGAAACAAAGCCAGATTTTTATACAATATGGAAAATGTTTATATCGAACATTGGATTGAATAAAGTTAATTTTAAGGTGTAAATTAAGTTCTTCAATGATTAGTTTACTTTTTTTTTTCATTAGTTTTTATAATCTGAATTTATTTTCTAACAAAAATGCATCAGCTCTAGTTTAAAGAACATATTTGTTGCTTAACTACAGCTGATGTGTTTTTGTGATCTTTAATATTAACATTAGTATGGCTTAAATATTTTAAAAAATATTTCTCATGGATGAGTAATGTATTTTATGATTTTCATTTTAACGTAAAGTTTCTTGATGACTAGATTTATTTAATTAATTATTAACTTATCAGTTTACAGTAATTGTTAGAGCTTGTTTTGTCTCTGACAAATAAAATAATTTATAGTTTGCTTAGACATTTAATAATTTTTTTATAATATTCATAATATTTATGTTTAAAAGAATGAATTATTATAATTTATATATTTTTCAAAAAATTGCATTGCCACCACATTTTCAATTCAGTTATTGATTCAATTCATCTTAACCTGTATTAACAGAAACAATTTATCTCATATTATCACCAATTTTTCAAGAACTTAATGCATATTTGCTTGAAAACGATTGTTTTCAATAGTATATTACATAAAGATATGTTTTTTTAACAATGTAAAATTGAAAATATATACATCAAGACAATTTTGTACTGTTCTGGAGATATGCTATTATGTTTATGTTAATGATAATGAGATCATCATAAGTAGTTTAGTCTTATAGATTGTGAACTAATTTTAGATGAAATCATACTATAATAATTGGTATAATTCCATCTAAAATTAGTTCACAAATCTACCCAATAGCTGAAAACTAACTTTCTCTTATCTAAGGATTAAATAAAAACAAAAAATTTTTCTGAAATATGTGACTGAAGAAATGATAAAATACAGTGATAAATTAAATTTCCATCTATTATCGCTTATACCAACAGGTACAAATGTGCAGTATCATAACAGATTTTATGCAGCAGGTGAAATTACTGTCATGCACCACAAAAACAATAGTAAACACAATTTACTTTTACTTTTATTTATAGATAAAATAAAATATTTATTTTAATATCATTTCATCTATAAATAATATATCTTTATACTTCAAAAATTTTATATTTTGCATCCATATATTTTACACTGTATCTGGAAAAATGTCTATTTGCTTCATCTCTGTTATAACACTGTATATTTAAACAATTTTTTTATAACAAAACTTTCATACAACATTACATGTTTATTTCTAAAAAATTTTTAATTGGATGAAAGAAAAAATTAATAATAATATTGTAATTTTATTGTTTAATAGAAAATTTCCAATGTTATATCTGTGTACTAAAATATATATGAAAATCAAAACTGAAAATCAGTTAAGAAACTAATTTTTAATTTTTTATTATTAAAGAGATCATGCCAATAGGGCAAGTCATCTGTTAATTTTGCATGCATTACATGAAAATAATTTAATACTTTTAATTTTAAACTTATAGAATTTTTCAATGTTTATTTAATATTAAACAGAATTGGATATAAACACTTTAAATTGTGAATTCAAAAACACCAGAATTTTCCATTAGTGAACAAGCTAGTAATGATGATAAAGAAAAGTTTAGACTTGGTAATAAAAACAACGTAATACACTGTAAACTTTCATCAACACAAAATATGAAAATGAACAGTTAAAAATATTTCCAAAATATATGAAGTTTTCATAAAACTTGAAATACTATGTACAGTTATATAAAATAAAAAATAATTGTAAAACATGAGAAAAACCTATTAACAACAACAGAAGTGTTAATTAGTGATGCATAATATAAATTGAAGTTTTTCCCACTTTCTTTTGTCTTATCAATCAATTATATTTTGAATTCAAATTGCATTGCTTTACACACCTTACCTGAATTTATTATAAATTAAAATAAAGCTGAAAATAACAATTATGTATATTATGATAATTATAACAATTGTTTTTAATTTGTCATTTATAGCAATCAAAAAGAAAAATATTTTAGCATGACATAACTGGTAAACCAGAAATAAATCTTAAATTTTGTTAACTATACATTATATTTTCTGAAAGAATAACAAAACAGAACTGTCTTGGATAATAAAAATAGAACTTTAAGTTCAATAACAGTTACCACATTCATATTAATTATTTTTCAATCAAATTTCACATAAATAAATTCCTCAAAATAATTTTTTCCTATTTTAATGTTTTGAAGTCAAACTTGGAAATTATGTTATCTATAAATGTAACAAATATCAAAAAACTTTATTATTAAAATTATTTCTATATTTATATGTTTCTAACTAATTCCTAGATTCTTCAAAGAGCAAAAATTAAAAAAAAAAATAATAATAATAATAAAATTCATATATTAATGAAGATTTCAAAATCATTGAAGATGCAAAGTATTTTATAACTTTAAAAGTTTAATTCATATTTGATTATTATTTTATGGAATCATTATAGTTTTATTAATATTTAAATTTTACTTTTTATCTTTTTAAGTAACCAATTTTATTCTTTGAAGATATCTAGAGATCAGAAAAAAAAAACAAATATCAAGTTAAACCAATAATATCAAACAACTTCTATTCATATATCTTAAAGTAGTTTCATATTATAGACTTATAAGGATGTGTTTTATTCAAAAACTATTGTAATTTAAAATATTTAAAATTTAAGTTTTCATAACTGAAGTGCACCAATTTCCACTTTGACCTTAATCAAAAATTCTGAAATTGTATATTGGCACAATCTAGGAGTGAAACAACACATTTATATACCTATAAAATATTCCCAATAATATTGTTAAACTATCTAAATGAATAATTAGATAAATTTTTTTATGGAATATTTTGGAGTGAGTGATTAATATGTAATACATTATATTGACAGACAAATATTTCACAATCCGGCAGCACAATAAAGTTCGACTTTTAAAGATTTTGAGCAAGTCCATCTATTTATAATTGAATAAGGCAAAATTACTTTTCCAGTTTATGCCAAGTATTCTCAAGGCACAATAGTAGTTACATACTCGTTGTTTTGTTAAGATTTTTTTCTCTTGCATTTTCATTAAATGATCGCATCTCAAATAAAGTTGTTATTAATTAAGCATCACTGTATCCTATAACTGCACTAACACAGCTGAATGGAAAATATCATCATCTAATAATGATACTTTACATTTATGATAAAATTAGAATACATTTATAACATCATACAGGCAACACATATGCGATCAGACAGGAAAAAAAAACTGCAGCTATCAAAGTATAAGTGTTTGATTTGATATGAAATACTGTTATTCTTGTAGAGAACAAGAATATCTACACTGTATTTTGATGTGTTTGTTGATGTCGAATGTTTGAGGCATCTCCTCGACAAATAGGACAAGTTCGATTTGCCTGGAAAAAATGAATGAAATATAGTATAAAATTTTTTACAATACAAATTTAAATAAAAAAAAAACCATTTAAAATATTACTGTATATTTTATAATATAATCATTCTATCACAGAATACTTTCCAACATTCTTTAGAAATGAAACTATAAGGAATTAAAATTTAAATGTAAAATGCAATTTACTACTTAAATGTCACCCATTATCAACTGCACCAGTTTCAGTAGGTCAAATATTTTTCTGCAGATCAGTGATTGACAAAACTTATGTAGAGTATTCTAACTGTACTGTACATTTAGTAAAATGTTTTATTTTCAAATTTTAAAAACTGTATTAAATTCAGTACACTTGCATGTAAGATTCAATAATTAAAGTCCAATTTAGTGTCAGAAGCATTTACATTTATGTCTGGAAAGGCAGCATTCTAGTCTGTGCCAACAGAAGCAAACATATATTATACAGCTACTCTTTATGATCATGTGATTCAAAATAGATGTACAGAAGTGTAGCTTGGTCATTCACATAAACATATAGACATCATTTTGTTTCACATCATTGACTGTAACATGTACAGATATATACAGTACATATTGTACATACTAATTTAAATTATTTTGAAAAAACCATCAGTTAGTGTGTACTTAATGAAAATATAACAAAATTACATTCAAAGCAAGACCATAAAAATATGTTATGAAAATAACATACGAAAGTACTTAAGTGCTTCAATAAGAATTACCACAAAAATTTTGTCTTGAGTTTGAGATTACAAAATTCATGTGATCTGATGAAAACAAGCTCTATTAACAGCTAAAAGCTATAAGTATGCATTCTGTCATGAATATGCATATGTATTTAATGGACTTTGGAATTATTGAAATCATAGATTTTTCCAAAATAATTAAAACACAAACAGATTTCTTCCATAAAAATAAAAAATTCTCTCTTCAGTGGCAGGATGTACAGTACAATGGCTCAATGACCTTGAACAAATGTCCAATAAATCAACAATGTATAACTGGTAAAACTGAAATAATTCTTATAAATACATAATATGATGAAAGGTTTTGAATTAAACAATATTTATGTGGGTCACCAGACCAGATAATGACTTGCATATTTCAAATTATCCAAACTAAAATGTATGCAAAATCCTAATCCTTTGGCCTGGGACTAGACTTGACTTTGAATTATGTAATACTTTGAATTATCTGATATCAAAATAATATGGTTTTACTGTATTTTGATTTCCTATAGTGTGGAATGTATCCTGTGTTGTACAGGGTTCACTGTATATGTATGTATGTATGTTTAAGTCAATTTAAGGAAAACTTTTATATTTGATCAATTTATTTAAAATGTTTATTCAAATTTATAATATATAAAAGAAAATGAAAATAATTTTATCAATTTCAATTATATGTGGATCTCATGCTATTTATTTTAATTAATATTAACCCTAAATGTCTATAAAAATTATTTTAAGAATTAATAGTACTGTTAAAATTGTTATATTCTGTTTTGTTTACATAACTGGAAATTTTACCTTTCTAAAAATAAACATAAGTAGTTAAAAATTATTTTATAACAATTAATTTGTAAACCACAGTAGACTCTCAATAACTTGAAGTGGAAAGGACAGAAGCAGTATGGAAAATGTCTTCATTGTAATAAGTTCATAAATATCACAATATGAACAGCATAAAAAGCTCAAGACTTCCTTATATGTAGAGGAGCAGGATAGTTGTCCTTGATAGGATTTATTTCTTCCTCATCTTTATTGTTTGTTTCTTGTACTTGATTTTTTATTTCAACAATGTTCTTGAGATAAGTGTTGGCAGACAGATAGGTCATTATCAGTAGTGACAAAATCTTTAACATAGTTGACAAATTCTGATTTATTCAGTGTAAAGAAATTGTTGACCAAAACCTGTTTTTGCAAAGCAGTGGTACTTAGTGAAATTTTATTCCAAGCTTTATTAATTATTCATTTTTCATTTGGCAAGGTCACTCCACACTCATATGATCTATCTTCAATAACATACATCACATTTTGTACGATGAGCTTTCTGTATTGTAATTTAAAATTTTAAAATAATTCCTTGGGTTTTAGGGGTTTAGAATAATTCAAAGGTTCTAATCTAGAAGTTGTATTTGATGGTAAAAATTGAACTGTTATAGCTTTCACAATAGGGATCATCAAACATGCACTAAAACTGTTCATAAAGGAATAAATTTTCTGTTTTTGACAATCTTGTGAACTTCTTAATTTATCAGCCAGTTAGAAAGAAAGCTCTGACATCATTCATACTTTACTACTTGCAGCATATTATAATAATAATGTCTTGGCATTGCAAAAGATTTAAAGATATTCCAATTAATAATGACAGCAGTTTTTTATTACCTGATACTTTTATCTGCTATGTTCCAACTGTTGTTCAAATTATTCAGATTTTTTTCTCTAAGAAGTTTCTAATGACAGGAGTATTCTTGTCTTCATAGTGTACAAATTACTTCAGCACACACTTTTCAGTATCTGGATATTCACATTTATACTTATTTTCTGTTCTCTATGATTCTGTTGTGCATTGGAGTTTTATGAAATCCTCTTATTGTTTTTCAGAAAAGGTGGGAAGAGGATGCTAAACTTAATATCAAATTTCAGATTTTTTCTTTTTGCTTTCATCCACAATCTTTATGACAGATTGTCTTTTCTGTTGTTGACAAAATTTTTAGTTCTCTCAAGTTTGCTATTCTATCTATTTTGAAATTAGAATAGTCAAAACACTGATTACATGCAATTAAAACTTAACATGTGATTCAAACTTTACAGTGAAATTTATACAGTATGAGTGCTTAGTTCCAAATAAGGAAATACATATAGACAAATTCAGCAAGTTGTCAAATCACAGATGTGTTCATTACATTTTAAAATTCTTAAGTTTTCAATTTCTAAAAATCTAAAAATAAAAAAAAACTAACAATTTTAAAGCACTAAAATTTGATCAGTCAATTTGCATTTGAGATCATTACTTTAGGTGCAAACATTGCATTACATAAAATTCAAAATTTTAACAATCAAAGACTAATTCTATACAATACCAATCTTCATCTTCAAGATAATATTGTTCATTCTCGTAAAAATGGAAAAGTATACAAAATTAGGCACAAAATAGTCTCTGATTCTTAAATTTAAAGTCAGTGAAATTTAATCTCAGAATTTCTTTGCCTTAGATAAAAACAGAATGTACTATCTAAGTTGAAAAAATAAAATAAAATTTGAGTTAGCAAGAATTTCAATTTAAGGAAGTTCAACTTATTGAGAACCTACTGTATTAATTTTCACTATTATTTTAACAGATCAGTAATAACTGTCAAATAGATTTTGTAGATTTATGGATGTGAAAATAAGCATTGTAGTAACTTTGTTCTTTATTACCATCACTCTTGTCAGGGTCCTTATCCATCATCATTTAAATTCCAACATTTCCAGGTTTTCCAGGTAAAAATCTTAGAATTTCTCTAACAAACACAAGTTAAACAACAAAGCCAAAAACCAACTGAATTTTTAATTTTGATTTATATTTGGCAAAAGGATGTATTTTAGCATAAAAACAAAGTGTACCAAAAGAATTTTCCAAAATAATTTTTTTGGTGCTTTATGACCCATTGAAATTTTTGTTTTATTTGATGCATCAGATGAAAAAATCAGTCATATCCCAGCTTTTGAACATGTAGAATGATCAGTGAGGATTTATTGGGCTGCAATTTGAAAAAATTGTAAACTTATAAATTTCCATTGTAGTCCATCTGTCTTTCCTTAATCTTGAGAATAAAGTCAATGAAGACCAGATATAGAACCTTAAGGGCAGGAGGTTCCAAGTAACTATATACAAACTTTTAATCAAAGAAGTCATGTTATTTTAATTCAAAAATTTTTCCTGAAAGGTGTTAGATAGATGACTGGCACAACTCTATAGTTAAAGGAAAAGTATGATGTACAGGGGCAAGTCACTGCTAATTTGGGGCAGAGAACATATACTTTAAATTAAATAAATTAAAAATTGTAGTCTGGCATTGTGGCAATGTGCAGTCTGGCATTCATCTGGCAAATTGCACAATAAATAATTGCTCATTTTAATGGAAATCATTTAGAGATCATGATTAGATAACAAAAAATAAAAATTCATTATTTCAGTTTTACAGAAATTTTTATATTAAAAAATTTAGACTCCTAAAAACTGAGTTTATTTTTTCTTTAAAGTTTTTATAGATTTTATAGATTTTTTTTGCATTGTAAGCATGAATTTTATTTTTTTATTATTATCCTTTGGATAATAATAAAAAAATAAAATTCATGCTTACAATGCTTATTATACATCCACTAGAAATTTTTATTTGCATAAATAAATGTTAAACATGCCAAACCAGTCAGTCATTAGCTCTTCATATTGCCTGAGTGTATCTTTATTTTTTGGCCTTGTTTATTTGATATAAAATGAGATAAATTTTAGACACTATCAAATTAAATTAGTGAATATTTATTTCTGTGAAGTAAAAATATTCCTTGACTACTTAAAATTCCCTACTTTGCAGATTGTTATAAACTCTGTCTTATATTATATGTTTATGTTATGATGATGCTAAAAGCCAAAATTATTGCGATACTTGTAAATAATTTATATGAAATAATCTTTATTTTAGAAAATAAATATATTTAGATAACTGTTTATTTCTTTTTTTGTTACATGATTGTAAAAATTTTTTAATTTATAATGTTTTGAAACTGTAATGTTATAAAAAAAATTAATAATAAAAAGAAAATAATACTTTAAAACTTAATATATATTTAATAAACAAACAAAATACTTGTTTTCATTTAAACTCATCTTACTGAGAGTGATCTTTACTTATATGTTTTTTTAATAATTTACTACTATTAAGAATGTACTCATAGCTAAAATTGATGTATTAATTTATAAAAATATTTTGTTAATCATATGATGCAGATCAATACTTTACTTACAATACATATTTATAGATACAGTTTTATATTTAAAAATATAATTTCCATAACAATACATGAATATAATGTAAATTAAATAACTTTATATAAAAATTTTTATATTACCTTTAACCATTTATCAATGCAACGAGAATGAAATTCATGACTACAAGGTAAGACCCTTAACATCTGACGAGATTCAAAATCGCACATGCACACAACACAAGATGTTTGATCATTTTCACGAGATTCCAATTTACAACGATAAGAAGGCAATTGATCAATTTCTAAAATTCAAATTGTATAACTTAGTTAAAATAATTCACAATACTTGTTCAAATTAACTAAAGCATTTACCAGATTTGGGCAATCCACGAGGTTTAGCTTCACCCAATCTTTCTGCAAGACTAAGTAATGCTTCATAATTTTCTGCTTCTGGAGAATCTGAATTAGGTAATTCTTGGTTATAAGGTGGTACTGATGGATTGGATAACATGGCACTGCTGATAAAATAATAATTAAATTATACAATGAATTACAATATTCAATACAGTAGAATCCATTTATTACGATCATTTTAGGACTTGCAATTTTTGATAACAATAACCAGCTAACCTTAAATAGAGGATAAAACAATTTTCATTATTGAACTCAATTTATTACAAACAATTATGTCATTTCTACAATTTATATTTATCACAAACTGTATACTTAATACATTACACATTTACTGTATTTACTCACTTATAAGGTGATCTCGCAGGGTATATAGGACAAAGTGTGACTTTAAAGATCAAAATAAAAAAAAATGAGATTTATTAATATAATTCTAGTTTTATTTCATTTAAGCACAAATAAAATATCAAATGCATGTAAATGCAACCATTAACCTACAGAAATTACTGGCATTTTAAACTTTAAGGAAAAATCATGTAAAATCAACAACACAATTTCTTTGTGTAAAGCTGAACAATCAGAAACCTTTTATGCCAATTACAGTACAGCATTGTTTATCCAAAAGCCAGTTATCCAAAACGTCGGTTAACCAAAAGTATTCCAGTCAGCAAATTTAAATTTTCACTAGTGCTGTGGCACTGCAATCTTTGGCTATATCTTGGGCTACTCCAATATTTTTTTTTGTTGGTGTGTGTGCTTTAGCTGGCAGCACTGGCACTTTTGTGTGGTGTTTTTCTGAGGACTGTGTGTCGTGCTGAATCAAACGTTTTTGATACTAGATCAACTTCTAAAGTATATATTTTTGTTTTTATATTTTTCAATATATTTATTTTGTTTGTAAAAAATAAAGAAATAATTTTTAACGATACAATAACCACGATACAATGTTAAGCCTAACATAAACTTTTAAAAAGTTTACATTAGGCTTAACATTGACGAAAATTCAATGCGAAGCGACACGCAACATAGAAAAATTTCAACATGGATAGGTTAATATATTTTTTCATACATAATCGGTTATCCAAAAAATAAGTTATCTGAACAACCCCAGTACCCAATTGATTCAGATAAATGACACTCTGCTGTATTAACAGTCAAATCCACTCTCCATCAATTACACTTATGAGTTTCTCAGAATTCTGATTTCCAAATAATAATCTGTTTTTACATGGGAATGGATTAAAACTTATATTGGGCTTCTGTATGATTTTGGAATTCAATTCAAAAGCTTTGATTTTCCTATTGCTATTCATCTTTATTCGTGACAATACACAAGAAGGATTCAAACAACCCAGATAAAATACTTATGTTTTTAAATACAAGAGGGTAAGCATCTGGTAAAAAAAAATGCATATACATAGTTCACAAAAATTATTTGCAAAAATGCAAAGAGTCCTTTGCACACATGTATAGGACAACCTAGGTTTTTGAAGCAGTGAAAAATGAATAAAAACCTCATCTTATATGCGAGTAAATACAGTATATATGCTACATTTCTTATAAATTTTGTGCTTTTGAAAACAACTTAAAATTTATTTGAAAAACTTATCAGAAAACAGACAATACTTTGATTGCATTTATTAGCTCCTAAATATAATTCTCATAATGCTTTTCAAACTTCATATTATTCTATATTGCACACCATGACAAGAATTCATAGAGCCTCATGCATGTGGGCATTAGTTGGAGGAACTTCTGAAATTTCTTCTTTGGTAATTTGGAGTTATCATCAGCAACATCTTGACATATTTCCAATACAGTAATTGAAGCCACCACTTCAACATTGTTATCTATATCCACCCAATTTTCAAATTTGTCTAAATACTACCTGACATTCTTTTGAAAATTTCAGCTTAAGATCAGGTTCTTTGAAAGTAGGAATTTCAGTATTTATTTTATTTTTGGAAGCAGTTTTTGATTGTTTTCTCTGAGACTTGTTTCCAAGATTGTAAGCAAATGCAATGTATCAATGTAGGAAAATCTTTTTTGCAATTGCACTTGCATCAGATTAATCTTGAATTTCATCAAGTTCAGCTAAGAGTTTAAATCTTTTAGCAGTTTCATCTTTAAACAAATAAGTATGCTCAGACAGATTACATGAAAATAGAGTCCAGTTTCATCTGTATTATAAATATACTGGGATAAATATTCAGCAATGATTTTGGGCCAATCTGTCTTTATCAACACATTAGCTATTAACAATTCAGTACTTTTTTCTTCACCATAAAATGAATATGCTTATACATGATATTCTCTCACTTTTTAACCTGGTGAATCATCCATCAGTTGCAATGAAATCTTTGCCCATTAACTGAAGCATTCTTTTCATAAACATTACTAAACCAAAGCTTTAATGCTGACTCAACTTGACTATCCTCCCCAGGTCCTTCTCTCTTCTGATCCACATTCTTGTTAGAAAAAGAAGAAATTTCTGTTTGATCTGTTTATATAAAATCATACACAAAATTATTTAGAAATTTTTAAATGCATAGCTGCACTACATTGAGTCGTTACGAGCAACTTATCATAACACCCTAAAATTGTTTGGTTTTCTCGAAGAGACAAATATCTATACTTTTGCACTGCTTCTGCTAAGATCCAAATGGTTTTTTATTGACTACTTTACAGTGATCTGTTGAGTTAAAAATGATTGTATTTATAGTCTTTTTTAACTCAATAGATCATAAAATTAAACTAGAGGAATGACAACAAGTGCACAATTTTATTCCCAGTCATTGCAACAATGTTTTGAAAAGGTAATGGGTGCTTTCTAAGAATTCTTGTCATGCACATGGTGTGTAAGAGATAAAAGGCATGCTTTGATTAAAAATAAATTTTGAAGAAAAGTCCATTTACAGTAGTACAAATTTTCTAAGAATTCTTATCATTTGTCTCCAAGTGTAATTATCTCAATTGATAACAATAACAGAAGTGTGATTATAATAGGCAGACTATTTTTAACTAATTATATGTAATATGTTTTGGGACTAAATGATTATAATAACNGATATAACAAGTTTTATATGGTTTGTTCCTATAAATATTTTTATTTTGAAAAAAAATCTATTTACTTAATTTATATATAATATACTTAATATCTGAGTCTATGAGGATACTTTCATAACCAATCTAGAACATACCATGCTGCTAAATATGAAAAAATAAAAATACAATTGAAAAAAAGCACACATTAATGCATAATCATGATGGAAAATTGTTACAAATACTATTTATTTTAGAAATAAGATCCTATAAACTCTCTTACTAGTTCAACTAAGAGTTTATAGGATCAAGTTTTTGAAATTCAATCTCCAATAAAATCTGAAGCAAATGCTTTTTGTTCAATTTTTCATTCAAATTTAACTTTGCAAAATTTTCTAAAAATTGAAAAAATGTATTTGCACTTAGCTGCCGATTGTGAACAAATTTCATATTAATACAATAATGATGAAAAGAAAGGTATATATATTATAAAAATGTCTGTAAATTTCTTTAAAACACACTTCATAAACACTTTTATGCAGAAAAAATTTTAAATTTTATAATTTTTAATATTTTTAATTCTTTAATTCAATTCAAATTTAATTCAAATTTAATTCAATTCAAATTTATTTAATAAAATTTTTGAGATTATATTTAAAAAATATATCAGATTTCTATATCATTTAGAATTTATACATTGCTTTTTTGATCAGTTGCATAAAAATATCAAGAAGACATGTATAATAGAAAAAACAAGTAAAGAGTACTGTACATAAAAACTTCAGAAACATACATGAAATGCAGAAGAAAACCCTGATATGCTGGTGGTACTGGGGGTAACACTGTTCCTCTCCAATGTCTACTTGCATGTCTTCTTCCCCGATTATCCATCCATTGAGCATTTGGAAAACTATTCTATAAATTAAAAAATTTTTATAAAATAAATTTTAACAATACATTCTTCCATTAATATAATATAAATAAATTTTCAAACAATAAAAAGTTATCTCCTAAAAAATAATTATTTATATCAATACTAAGTTTGTAAATTTGATGAAGTTAGAAAATTAGCTAGAAAATGAATTAGTAATATTAATTCATTTTCTAGCTAATTTCATTTTTTAGCTATATTAATAAAAACAACAAAAATAATCATTTAAATAAATTTTTTTTCATATTTTCAGTACCAATCAATTAGATTAACCTAATGATTAATTAAAAATTAAAGTAATCTAAATAATATGGAAAAATTTTAAATATTCAAGCAATAATGATTTATAAATTATTGCTTGAATATTTAAAATTTTTCCATATTATTTAGACTACTTTAATTTTTAATTAAAAATTCTTTATTTTGTGATAATTAACAAAAGTTAGTATTTGTAATGAATGATTGTTTTCTCCTTTTCCTTTCCTACTAGTAATCACTAAGTCACAGGGTAACGCTGTTACATAGAGTTCATTATATGCAGCAAACAGACTGTCACAAAGTTACCCCAAGCGACAGGGTAAAATTGTGACAATAATTTTCATAATATTGTTTAAAACAATAAATGAACAATTAATTAAAAACTACTAATTAAAATTAAAGAAAGATAAAAATTAAATCTTTCTAAATTAACAACTAACAACACATTTGGTCCAATAATCCAGTAATTAACATTAAAAAAAAAAACATGAAGTTTCACAAATAACTCCAGTTTACTGGTATATTTCATTATGTTTAATGGTAAAAAAAAGGAAAATATTTTAAAATACAAAACTGTATTAAAAAATTTTAATTATTAAACAGATTTTACAGTATTTAACCTTATCATCTGCCAGAATTGTCTGTATTTAAATAAATGAATTAGTTAAGTAAAAACTTCACAGAACTAGACATTAACAGAATGTAATATACCAATCAACTAACACAGTAATTGACAAGAACAGAAGACAATAGATCAAAAGTAATATTAAATTCTGTATGTACTAATATCAATATATAACAGAATTTATCTGAACAGAATATGTTCCAGAACCAATTATTATTCTATTTTATTCAAACAAAAAGAAAAATTACTTCTACTGAATAGAATCAATGAAGAAACATTCTAGTTAAAAATAATCCTATAGGATTAATAGGTAAAAATCTTTAGTTAATTGTTCTAATAATTTTTAGAAATTTTCACAAGTATTTTATGCACTAACATTTCTTTATATGTCATATTCCCTCCATCATTGTTGCAATAACATGCACTATCTTTTAACAGGTTCTTAGTCTAAGTACAGGTTTGTTGCATGCCAATTTCTTGCATTTAATATACCCATTTTTATGTTTATTTATTTTAATTAAGCATTTACATTTAATAGACTATGTTAAATTTTAATTAAATTATGAAATACTAGCAGACCCCGCCATGCCTTGTTGTGGCTCAAAATGTATCTATTATAAATGTATAACACTTCCCCTGTGGGGGAAAATTTTTTGAAAAATATTTTCTTAGTGTACATTCTCTTGATGTACCCTATTAAAACGCAATCAAAAACGCGCAAAAACCCGCATCTAAAATAGTATAATAGAAGCCAAGTTCATGGTAAGCCTTAATCCTGTCTCTCTCCCCCGGGGGAATATCGAAAAATTTGTTGTTAGTGTACATTCTGTTAACGTACCCTATTAAAACGCAATCAAAAACGCAATCAAAAACGCATCTAAAATAGTATAAATAGAAGCAGAGTTCTTTACGGTAAGCCTTCCCCGTAAGGCTTACCGTAAAGAACTGTCCATCCCCATGTTTAACGGAATAATATACAGCCTATGTCCACCCTGAAGTTCCATTCTAAATATTGGTGAAAGAATTTTTGAAATCGGATGAGTAGTTTCGGAGATTACCTGCTGCATACAAACTAACATACATACAAACATTACCTCTTTATAATATTAGTATAGATTACGAGATGATATAATCTTGGAACGTTTACCTGCTGCATACAAACTAACATACATACAAACATTACCTCTTTATAATATTAGTATAGATTAACACAATTAATGCACAGTAACTGTTCCAATAAATACTCATTACTAGTTTCACAAATAATGCTTGGTCTATTGATCACAGATAATTTTTTCAGGATTTCAAACAAATTATAATAAAATTATAGAGTTTGTATGACAGTAATAATACAGAAAATTTTTATTGAAAAGATTGTAAGTGAATTACTTACTATGTTTATTATTTGTAAATGTAAAATTTTTTATAAAAATAACTTAAGAAATTTACAAACACTTGTTCTCTCTCTGTGTTTTTCCATTTGCCCAACAATCCATCAATAATATTAACTTTTCCAAATTCCTATTTATATCTTCTAAATATTTTTCTATTTCTATTTTATATTTTATTCTTCATTACATACATTCAATACAGAAAAACATTTCAATTTGTAAAAGGACATTATTCTGTTTTCAAATATAAGATAAAACTGATTATTTTAACTTTTTTATTTTATAATTTTATTTCTCATAAATTTAATAAAAACTGATACTTGCAACTTTATATATTCCAAAACTATTTTACATATGATAAGAAATTTCATAAGTCTAGAAAATTTTAGTATTATGTGAGAAACATATTAATTGTAAACTGTGAAACAGAATTTCACTGCATATAAAGTGAAAAAAATATTACATAATTTATTGAATAATTTTTAATTCAAAAGCTCTATTTGAGTTATTTTATTGTTTACTTTATTACTAAGATATATATGATTTTCATTAATTTTCAATTTAAAATCATCATAATATAACTTCTTCATGCACACCGGGGTATGTATAATAAATAAATAAAAGAGGCTCGAGTAAGTAGGTTTTATTTATTTAAAATCATCTATGTAAATTCATTTAATAGCTTCAGTATTAATATAAAATTTAAATAAAAGTAGTCTATTACTGTTAACTAACTGATTTAAGATAAGCAATAATATTTCAGTTTATTTGAAGTGTTTTTCACACAGAATAAAAATTCTCTTATTTTGCTTTTTGTTTAGTATTGAATATCTGATCATAGTATGATATGAAACATTTGCACTAAGAGACATATGGAAGATAAATATAGAACTAACAAAAGTTTTGTCATACTAAATATTTTTATCATCATAATATTTTCTTAGTCTTGAATGTCAGAAAATAAAGACTAATCATTATTCAGTTGATAACTTATTGTTACAATAACTACTATTAATACTAATGATATAAAAATTTAAATAATTTTTATTGTTATAGAAAAAAACTGACAATATTGTATTCATATGAAAAGTAAAAAATTGTTCATACTATATCTTGTATTGCAGAAAAAGTTGATGCAGCAATAATTGGTGATGGTGGAATATTCGGATAATTTGTCTGAGAATCTGCATTACGGTTTCCTAAACCATTATCTTGTGACTAAAATAATTTAAATTTATTATAATTAAAAAATATATTATTCAATAATAAGAACTATTAATTGTTGTACCTGAGTATTTATTGAAGAAGACACAGGATATTGGGGTTGATCCATTGCTGGAATTTGTTGTTGAAAATGAGGCAATTGCTGATTTGGTGCTTGAATGAGTTGTGTAGGAATTGTGGGATTTATGGAACGATATCTAGTCTGATGATAGCAACAATTACAGGCAAAATTTGGAGCAACTATCTGAGGTTGAATATTGCCTGAAATAGTGCCCGAAACATAATATGGTGATGAAATAGGAATTGGCCCAATATTTTCAGTTCCATTGTATATAAGAAATGGATGAGTAGATATACCAGGAACACTTCCTGCAACCTGAAAGATAATAATAAATTTCGCAAAATTTCATACAGAACATCATACAAAAAAATAAATAATTGATACTAAGTTCTAAGTATCCATTCATTTTTAAAAATAAAAATAGACCTAATAAAGTTTAAAAGTGAATGAATGAACCTATTTGATTTTTATTCAAGATAACAATCATAATAACATGGAAAAAATATGAGTATCAATAAATAATTTAAATTAACATTTTAAAATATCTAAACTGTAATAACTAAGCAATCATATCTTTCTATTCTCTTAGAAAGTAAATGTTTATTCATATTATTTCACAATAAATTAACAATAAAAACAGTATTAACAAGTTTAATTCCATTCAAAAATATTTTCAATTGAAAATCTCCATTGCAATCTATAATTAATATTTACAAAACAAAAAAAAAAACCCCAACAAGAAAACATAATCCAGGATTACATTACATTAAATATGTTTTAATTTGAAATTATGTTTTTCTCTATCCTCAATGTAACAAGTCCTATATCACAAGAATGTGCAAAGTCGACAAAAGTGTAATATAAGTAAGTAATTAAGAACAAGAAGCACATATCAACAAAAATAAAACTGTTTATTATATTACAATGCTGCAAACAATGTTATATAAATAAAAAAGTACTGCTTATCAATACCTAAAACATTACTATTAAATTTTATAAAATAACAGCATTCAATTTCTCAAATAAAAAATTTCAATATTACAAAAGATATTCCATTTATATATGTATTCAATAATTAATTAAACTTTATTATATAAGAAAAACTTAATGTATACAAATATATTTTAAATTATTTTTGGATTTTGAGTAATTTTTCTTAAAATACATTACACACAGCACAAAAGTTTTGGTCAGAGAATTCTTGAGAATTATTTCTCATCACACATTCTTTAGCAATAAATTTTTGAATTAAATTTGAATTAAATCTAATGTAATTTATCTGATTTAATAGTAATTTATATACATGATGACAACTCTGTTGTTGTGGAAGATATACAAGGTAAATTACAATTAAATGAAGATTTCAAAACATTTTAATAATTATGGGATTTTTTAAATAAAATGATGTAATTGCTAAATAATTTAAATATTGACTATCTGAAATAGAATACAGATTGTGATGACAATCATGGTAGTCTAAAAACATTTAATTTATTTATTTTAAAATATTTTAATTTATTTATTTAAATTAATGAGAATATATCTTTTGATAAGATGATATTATTTATGTTCAAAACTATATGTTAATTTTTTATTTTGCTCCATGAACTCGTTTGAAAACTTTTTCAAAATTTATCAAACATACCTGTGTAATATCACAAACATATCCTTGCTGAGTACCAGCAGGATGAGCCAAAAGACCAGGATGTGGCAATGCATGATTCATTTGGAAGGCAGGCTGATAGTTATATCTGTGATCTCTAACTTGATTATCACACCATGATGGAATACTTTCACATCTTACACCAAGACTAAAGGATTAAAATATAAAAAAGTTTTATATATGTATAGTAAAAGTTAAAAATCATTATTTAAGTACCTATTTCTACAAGTAGAAGACTGTTCTGGAATGGCAATACGTGATGTATTTCTTCCATGTACCATTCTGCCAATAGAGTGTGAATTATTATCCCAAGATGTGGGAGATATTTGGCTAGGAGACAAAGAATCAATTCTGTGTGAAGAAATACGACGGCGTTTTCTGCTTGGACTCTAAAAATAATTTTTTTAAAAATCCTAATTAATAAATTGTAAGTAAAACTGAATATATTTAAATTTACTGCATACATTTGATTATATATATAAAAAATTTAATAAACACAGTATTTATGATATATTGTAATATGTTTATAGTAGAAAAATATTAATTAATGTATTTATAATTTGTAAATAATTTTACTTGAAATAATGAAACTATAGGATAAAATTAATTTAAATACTGGTACTCTATACCTATCAACATTTCAATGTCATTCTATCATCAAATTAAATATAGTCAAAAATCTGTACTTGTCAATGAAAACATTAAAAATTTTTTACAAATTGCATGAATGATAAGTCATAAATGTGCAAAACACATATATTATTTATTACTAACAAGGGGAATTTCAGGATTGGCTCCCTCAGATTTTAACAAGTTTAATTTGTATTGTAATACTAAGGTACATTCCATAAAAATATTCATACTGAAAACTTTGCAAAAATAATTTAATTTTGGTTTGCTTAAACTTTCACAAATGTACATATAAAAAACCCTATCAAAAAAAGAAAACATAAATAAACCAGAATTTTAAAGAATTACAATCAATTTGACTGTTCCAAAATATAAAAGGCATATAACAAAAATTAACTGAAACAATTCATGACATGTTAATAAATTATACTTAACAATAACCTAATATCCAATGAAACCTCCTTTGTCTAAAATAATTTTTTAAACGTCATCTGTCATTGGTTGTATGAGATTTTGGAGGACAGATATGCTTATTTCTTTCCAGTTATGAATTACGGCTTGTTTTAGTTACTCCACAATATTATATTGCTGCCCATTTACAAATATAGCTCTAGCCAAAATTCTCCAAGGATTTTCCATTGGATTAAGATCAAGAGATAGAGTTGGCCAATCAATCAATAATAGGCACCCCATTAGTTAAAATCCACTCATAGACAGAATTTGCTGTGTGAATGAGAGCATCAACCTGTTCAAAGAACCATCAATTTCCAGCAATACATTCTGCAAAAAAGACAGGAGATGATTATCAATATATGTTGGCAAGCAATTTGCTTTCGTATACCTTGTAAAAAAGCAATTAGAATCTTTCCTTGCCAACTAAAACATATCACAGCATAACTGAACCACCACTTTGTTGTCACTTAGAATATGGTCATTCCTCCCTTCTCAAATCAAGCCAGTAGTGACTCCAACCATCTGGACCATTAAGAGTAAATTTTTTCTCATCATTCCAGATGATTTGTTTCCATGTGTCCTCTCACGTTTTCCTTGGCCCAGAATAAATGTTTCTCCTTGTGAGTGGGATTTTGTAATGGGGTATGTTTTCTTGACTTATGTGAGGAACTGGGGGGCTAATAGGGTGAGTTGATCCCTATTTACCACTTAATTGGCAACGGATTGGTGTGATCAGCCCACGGGGTCAGTGGATGGCATGTTTCTTCTTGGCGCATTTCAGGTTGGCTTATCAGGTCAAGTGGGAGGGTAACAGGGGTCGTCAGTAAAGCATTGACGATACCCGAGAAAAAGACACCATTCACAAACACGAAAATAAAAATTTAAACTTTAATGAATAACTAAAAGCTAACAAAAAGGTTTACATGATTTCAAATACAAATATGGATAATCAGTGGCGTATACCGGACCGAGAGGGTATTCGAACTGTCCTAACTACCAATAACTGTTTACTGAATCCGAGAGAAAGTTTACAAAATGTTGTGAAATGTCCTACCTCTTTCCCTTCTTCAGTGATTTCGAGATTAAGCAGGTACATTGAGATCAAACTGATGCTGGAAACCTTTAGTTGGGAAGATGCACAGGATAAATTGGTTTCGGAGAAACAATCACCCTGAAGTAGGGGTGCGTTTGCCTTATATTTGGTTTGGGCCTGGGAAAATGATCATGTGATCGAGTGCTGTCGAAGACAAAGGTTGAATTTGCAGGTGTTGGGTCAGAGGTGATCCAGGGAGACAAACAGAAGATGTTGAAATGGGACGTGGAATGTAATCTTTGGTTTGTACAATGTTAGGTTCACCCTATTTATGCAGGCAAATGTTGACATTCTCATCCCATTAACTGTAAATTGTTATACTTTCTTAGCAGTTATTGGTGAGAAAGATGACATTCAATCCTTTCTTTTTCATTGCGATGTTTTCTTAATGATCATGAGGGAGAATTAGGCTTAACATTTTCATAAAATATAGCAAAATCAAGCGCTTGATCTCACACTTATAAACAAGATACCAAACATGTTTGCACAACTCTTACAATAGCTGATTGCCAACATTACACTTGGAAATTTACAAACATCTCTAAGCTTAATAAATTTGTAATATGCCAAACAACTACCAGATTATATCAGGCTACTATAAACATGGAAAAGTACCGTGATTGTGAGGTCCCAAGAACGGGTTGAAATTAAACATTTACTGTATTATTAGAAATTTATTAAAACAAAACTAGAAAAAAAAATTGTCTATTGTTAAAAACCAATCAAAGATCGAATTAGTTGTTCTAGTCATATGAAACCTCATATGACTAGAACAACTAGTCATATTGACTAGTTGTTCTAGTCATATAATGAGAGAAAAAAAAATGCTATCGATGTAAACAGAACGCAATAATTATAAATGAGCAACCTCCAGTAGAGACGGACCTTTGACAAGTCGCTCATATGCAAATAATTATAACATAGAAATTTTGAAAAGGGGGAAAGATTAATGACAAAAAGGGACATTGCGTCGAATCATTAAATTTCAAAAACGTCACAGACTAGACAACAATGGTGGAAAATATGAGCCCAAGTTTCAAAGTTCCATCAACATTTTGCATCCAGTGTAACGGATGGTGTCAAGTACAGTAATACCTCGACTTACGCTACCCCGACTTACACGAACCCAGAGTTACACAATTTTCAAATCGCATTGATTCGTCTTTTGTTTGAGCGCCACGCAACTCTTGATTATTCACTTCCCCCACACTATTGTTCAGTTTACATGTTCGGATGTGTCGTGCAGAATCGACACATAGCTACAATTTATTTTGTGTTATTTATTTCTGTGTTTGTTATATCTACGGAGACTTGAGAGACTCTATGTGGTGATTTCTCGTAACCGTGAACGAATCAAAAGACGAGATAAGATTAATGAGAACATTTATTAGCTTACGTACATCCGACTTGATTTTACACAAATTGTGAAATTATACCCTGACTTATGCGAATTCGACTTACGCTGTTATCGCCTGGTCCCACCTATCGTGTAAGCACGGGTATTACTGTAGATTCTTCAAAGCGGATCTTTCTGGTGACTCGAACAGGAATTGTCTTTCGCTTAGAGACAGATGAGAGACCAATTGTGGAGCGAGAAAAAAGGGATATGGAGCCAATCAGAAAAAAACAAAACAAAGAACGGAGAGTGATATAATCCCTGATCTTCAAGGACAGACTCACTTTCCAAAAACTGTGCACCTGCACACGGTTAGTCAATGCAAAAAAGCAGTTTTTCGTCTGTTGTGCCCAACTGGTAACCTGTGACTATGGACTCAGACTGCCGACACCAACTGACAAATCTCCACACCTGCCGTTGCCCCGGGGCCTTCCTTCAAGCAACATTAGAAACACCATAGACAATTCGAACCTCCAATTGTATAAAGAACATTTTTGTTCCTTAGTGTAAGTTTACTTTTACATTTAAAATAAATGGGTTTTTGAGATTCTTGTCATCTGTGTCTCCTCCGCCACACCCACATGCGAATGACCCTAGATCATCCTGACGCGGGATTAACGATTCATTTTTAAACAATAAAATTAATCAACCAATAACTGTTTTAAAATTATTTATTTTGTGAATATACTAGAGAAATTTTTCTATCAAGCATGACTAGAAAAGAATAGAAAATAAAATAAAATGTTATGTGGTCAGTATGAAAAATTAAAAAACAAAAATTTGTTGTAGAAGCAACATGATGTGAATATTATTAAAGTAAATGACATCACTGCAATGTAAATACCATCACTGAACTGAATCTAGTGCCATCTCATAGATAAAATGATTTTTTTTAATATTTATGGTTAGTTAATAATTACACACACACACAAGTGCTAAAGGCTATTATATTATGCACATATTTAAAACTTATGTGTAATTTATAACACAAATATGAAAATAATATTTTGCTAATATTATAAAAGAAACATTGTAATTTTGTCATTTTTTACTACTGTTAGTTTCAACATTGTTGATGAGATTTGTAAGTAAATCATATGATAATATTTACATTACTTATTTGACATTCTCTGCCCATCACTGATACAAAGAATAATTGTTTTCTTAATGAATAAAACACAAAGTTAATATACTATAATTCAGTATAAAAAAATTAATATTAAACAGTTTGAAATCTATTATTAGTAATTTGTCACTTACAGTTAAGAAATAGAATAAATTTTAATTATAAAATTTATGAAATTTTAACGATTATGACATAATACAGAGTGTCCATAAAGTCTCTTTACAACTTAAAAAATTTATTGCAAAGGCAATTGATAAAATATCTTAATCAGACTTGTTCTATTGTACTCAATGGTTTTCAAAGTTTTTCTACCTCATTTAATACACCTCTATATGGGCACCATTAGTTGCACACAGCATATCAAGACAATATTTGACTTCTTTCCATGTTCACTGTAACATAGCCCACAGCTGCAGGACCTTCAACCAACCTTCATTTTCCAGCAAGATGGTGCCCCATCACATTGGGGACTGCATGTTCATGACTTCCTTAATCAAACATTTCCAGACTGTTGGATTGGAAGGGATGGACCAATTCTGTAGCCACCACCCACATTCACTAAATATCACATCTCTGGATTTCTTTCTACGGGGCTATGTTAAAGATATTGTGTATCAAACAAAGATATGAGACATTACTGAACTAAAGCAAAATATAATACATGCAATAACAACCATTGATGAGGCTATGC